AAACTAAAATTAAAATTATTTCTCTACTAAATTGCTCGAACACCCAAAATATTAAATGAAATTAAATAAATAAAAAATTTTTAAATTAGAATTAAAGTTAATGATATGCAAGGAATTGTGCAAATAACTACAAAAAGCAAAAAGTTGCATGTATATAAACATATAACCTGTTCATTTACATCCACACCCACACACACATACGCACAGATGAACAGTGTAAGAGACATGCTCATTTGTATGCGAGTCGCATAAAAACAAAGCATACATTTGGGCGCTGGCTGACCTCAGTTAACCGAGGATAGAATGAACAGCGTTACAACTACAACAACTTTAACTACAACAAAAGCAACTGCATAAATGTTGATTTTGTTCATTATCTAAACAGTCAAGAAGCAGAGCAGCATAATATGATAAACTGATAGTCCTTGAACCATGAATAGCAGCAATCGCAAACAATTGTTGGCCAAAAGAGTCAGCAAACCCGCATAGATTTCGTATGCCAATAATGGGCGAAAAAATTAAAATTGATTAAGATATAAAGGGGAGCCAGCAGAGGTAGAGCAAAAGTTGAGTAAGACAAGTTTATCTGTCTATATGTCTAGCTATAGTATATGCATATTAGTTTTTGCTTACAACTTGGGCCAGAGCCATCAAAGATTTGGCCCAACGGAAGCTGCTGCCACTTTCTACTTTATGAGGCTGTAAAGCAAAACTCGTAACTTCGTCCCAGTCATTGGGTCGTAAATAACAAGTTTGAGATCTAATAGAGAAATGGACCAAGGAAGGCGTAAGCAAACATAAAATGGGAAAGTTTATATATGTGTGTATATAAATGTAACTCTTTGGAGTATTTCTTAAAAGTGTATATCTATTAAGCAATAAATTAATTTTTGCTTATTTTTTTGATTAAGTGAATATATTTTACTTTAGCAAAACCATTTAAAAATATTCTGTAAATTATTTTATATTGTTTAATAAATACAACAATTTTTTACTTTGGGCTTCCGCCTTAACTGGTAATCGCAACAGCAGCGCTTCGGACAAAAGCCGAGCACTGTTAACAGCTGCTGCTTCTCAACAGCACTAGACGACAGCAACGCTGCTACGCGTGACGCCAGCAGCGCTGCTACTGTACCAATATATGCTGCCAGCAGTGCTGTTATCTAACATTTACTGTTAACGTGAACACGCTTGCTTTTGGTGGATTTTCTGCGCTCGTGTGCTTGTACTTCTATTTGTTTTTCGTTTAAACATGAACGTCTCAACTGTTAATCTGACCAGTAGCGCTTCTGCTAAATGCCGAGCACTGTTATTAGCTGCTGTATCTCAACGCCACTAGACGCCAGCAGTGCTGCTACATTAGCAACGCGTGACGCCAGCAGCGCTGCCACTGTACGAATATTTGCTGCCTGCAGTGCTGCTACATTAGCAACGCGTGACGCCAGCAGCGCTGCCACTGTACGAATATTTGCTACCTGCAGTGCTGCTCGTTAGCAGCACTGTTAGCTAACATTTATTGTTTACGTTAACCCGAATGATTTTGCTTGTTTTTCTGTGCTCGTGCGTTTGTATTTCTCTTTGTCTTTGGTTTGAACTTGAACCTGTCACAAAGCTGTTATTGCTTTTACTTTTGCTTTTGTTTTTGTGCTCAGCGCGAACTTTGCGGTTTCGTTTGTTGATGTCGCTCAGTTTGTTTTTACGTTGGTCTTTCGCTCTACTGGAATTTATAATATAGATTTTATTTAATATGAGATTCTTTTTTGTGGTGAAAGTTTATAATATAATGACTAACTATACATATTTATAGATCTTTTCTATATATACAAATATCTAATTGAAATTATATTTCATTTTATTTAAAATTATATATATAATTTAAATTGATCCTTTATTATATTTTAGCTAAATAAAATATATTTTTGCAAAGTTCATTAACAGCCTTTGACTTTGATGTGGTTATGCTTGGGAAATTATTAGTTAAATGAAAATTTTGTTATTTTAATTGACTCTTTGGCACATTATTGAGACGTCAAATTGTAATTTAAATATGATGAGCTATAAAGCTTTAATTCAACTCTCAATGTTATGCATTAAACAAGCTACATATATGCAGTAGCAGCAGCAGCTGGACATCTTATTTAATTAATTGCTTTTTTGGCCAGAAGGCAAAAAGTCGTCTAATGGTCAAAGCAGGCAGACAAAAAAAACTGATTTGCCAAATGCTGCTGCTGCATTAATTAATTACAGTAATAATTAGAGCACTCAACTCAAAATGTAAAGAAAATGGCCAAAGCTGAGATATGTTTTATAGCATATAAAATACGTTCATATTGAAGTCATAGCAAGCTAAAATTCATACAGCTCCAATGGGTTTACCATAGATTCAAGTTAATCATTTAAAGAAGCTTTATTTAATTTTTTATTCGGGCAAGCTAAGCCGTCATTAGAGCCAATCAATAGTCCAACAGAAGAATTCAATTAGTCGCACTGAATAACTTCGTTAGGTTGGCCGAGGTACGTGCAAAAATATTGCGCATACGCCTCGTGTCCACCTAGTTGAGCTACATTTTAGTGTCTTTGGCTTTGCTCTGTAAGCCTAAGCCCAAGTCTGGCCAAACGATTGACTCAGATACATCTGCTTTCGTTTGCAATCTGTCAGCCAGGCTGGCAGGCAGACGGCCAAGCCATCAAGCAGCCGGGGTAGACGTTTTGTGGCCACAGCTTTCGGCGCTAACGCACTTAAATCATTAGCATGTGCCAGCTGTCGCTCATTCATCATGAAAAGCTCTACGATTCACTGAACTCTGCAAAATGCACAAAATCTGCATTATATTGAATTATTTTTAGCTTATTCTAATGTTTGGCGCACAAAAATACAACTTTTAATTGAGGATTTTAAGAAGTTTAATGTGTCAAGACCTGCCCTTAATTAAAAAATTATTATGAATTTGTAATCAATTTATTTGAACCCCTTGCTTTCTCAGAAATAAGTGCAAGCTTTATCCTAACTAAACTAACAAGTATTTTATTTATTACATTTGCATTTCTTGCATTAAGATTTATTTAATTTTCTGTGCTTTTTTAGTTTTACTCAGCAGAAAAGTTTTGTCATTATTCACGCTGCGATTTGCAACACTTTCCACCTGACTCACCTGGCTGAGTCGAGTCGTTTGCACCTGCTCAAATGATTTCTTGTCTGGCTAACTTCAATTTCTACTTACTTACAACTGCAATAAAATTGTTTTCCTTTTGTTTTTATTGCTTCAGAGCTGTTTGCATAGTTTGATTGAAATTCGTTTGAAATGTGTGCAAGTTTTTTATTATTTTTTAAAAAATAGTTTATGCTCTGCTGCTGACTTGAATTATCTAAAGATTAAAGAGCTATTTTATTTTGACCAGCGTGAATTGAACCTGGCTTTGGCAGAGAGAAAGTTGAGCTTTTGAGTTTTTCTATTTTCATTATATGTGGTCTGGCTGGTGGCAAAGGTTTTCAGCAAAAGTTTTGTTCAACTATTTAAATGGTATAAAAGAAGATTTGTTTTGAGGCTTAACCGTGCCTTTGAGGAGATAAACAATAATAATAACTCTCTTGAGGTTTGGGCATAACATGCTTTATTTCTTATTTGAAAGCCCTATACTTTTAGACAAATTTAAAACAACTTAAAAGTACACCAAGAGTTTATCATCATTCACAATTTTGATTTCACCTGAATTTCGCTTGAAGTAACTGAAACTTTTCATGTCTTAATACTCAATTTTAATCACGTTTGTTTACAGTAAAACATAGCAAAAGGAAAGAGAGAATCATGCTAAATGTAACCTCAATTCAGTGGGTTGAAAGCCAAGGGATAAAGGTCCGTCGCAACATTGTTAACAATAATTAACACACAAATAACTGAAACGCGCGAGTCTCTGAATGGAAAATTATGTAAGCACAATGTTGACACTGCCATGAATTATGCAATAAAGAAATAATAGCGTTAGTTAAAATATAACAAATCAGCTTCTAAACCACAGCAAATGTGTAGCTATTGTAACGAATGCTTGTGCAATTATTATAGCTGCAGAAATTGTGATGTAAATATGTAAATGATGTATATGGTATTAGATAAGAACAAAGTATATTTGATTACTTTTATGTATGTTAGAAACACGTAATAAATAGTCAATTATATAATTATATTACAATGTATATTTTATTAATTTATAAAATAAATTTTTTTAATTTAATAGCTGAGCATCAGCATACATAGTGATAATTTAATTTAAATGAAGCATACGCTACGTAAGCCAAATGTAGTTTAAATAGTAGATTAGTTTGTTAAAAATTATAATTCAAGTTTTAAATTGAAACATGTTATTTAGGCCCTTGCTCCTTTTTTCGTTTGTTACATTGCCACTCAAAAGCAAGAAGAAGCTTGAAGGTATTTATTTCGTGGTATTGGATTTGTTAAATATCTGAAAGTTGTGCTAACTAACTAATTTCTAGAAATAAAAATGATGATTTTTATCTGGCAGTAGATAGTGAGCTTATTAATGCTTACTAATCAACAATAGAAGAAGCCAAAGCGTGAGTTGATTGTTGTTTAGATCATCAGCTGACATACTGCGTTCGTCATGTGCCTTAATATGAAAACTTAATTAAGTTAAAGTCTTTATGTAATCCTTAGCGAAGTTTCTTCTTTTGCTTCAGCCTTAGACAGCGCAGTTGTAATCATGTTAACACGGCGTATGCGCAATGCGTAGCACATTCATAACTCAGCTAAAATTCAAAATCCGGTTCAGATATATCTAAGTACTAGCACGTAAAGTAGATTTATGTCAAAATTTCTTATATATATATAATGAAGATATGCTATATATACATATATTTGTAAGCACGCAGCTCCCTTGGCACGTTCACTGTTGGCCTTTTTTAGGCTTGCCTTTGCGTAAATTCTTTGTAAATAAATTGTGGTTGCAAATGTTCATGCTTCGCGCTATACATATATATATATAATATGTGTGTATTATATATATCATATTTTCGTGGGAATTCTTCATTTTGTCTTGTTCATATTTTAATTATTTAAGTTGTGTGCCTCACAGCTGCTGTTGGCTGGATATGCTTGGCACGTGCTGGGCTTTCGCGGCAGATTTCCTAATGAGTTTGTTGTTGTGGTGAGCTAAATTTATGTGCTGGTCACTAGTTGGATTGTTATACAAGCCAGAAATAATGTTAAGTGTGGGCTAAGTTAAAATAAAACATAAATTATCTAATGAAATATTTGACAACAAAAATGAGAAAATCTTAATTTGAAAATATTTTGTTGTCTTCAACAGATGCGAAGAGATGTAAAGGAAAGGATATCTATTTATGTGGTGAGCTGGGTAGCGGTTTGAAATATATAAAACTAAATGTATATATATAATTTTACATATATATCATTTCCTGGGATAACTCATTTAATTTTCCTATTATTGATTTGCCTCAGATGTTGATCCTTCAATACTATCGCTTAAAAAGAGCCCAAGTTCGGCCGCTTCGTGCTTCAGTCAGAGCAAATGTCTGTCTGTCTTAGCTGTTTAGTAAGTCACCAAAATACAATAACTTATTTACACACTTATCTAGCTGGCACATCCATTTGGACCCTAATTCAATTATCAGTTATCGGGACAAAGTCAAATCCCAATAATCAATGAAGATTTAAGTAGCAATCGAACCTTTTTGCAATCTTAAGCTCTGAGATTATTTAAAATAAATTTTAACTTTTTAAGAAGTTTTCTAAGTATTTTAATGGCGCTTGGCAAACTTTAGGCTCTTCCTCTCTTTGTGTGTTTCTAAATCAAGCACGCGTTGTTTACTTTGGGCCCATATCAATAAGTCTTAAGTTATTGAAAATCTTTGCTGAAGAATCTTCTCGCTTAAAGCTGCTGCTTCTGATGCTGCTCAAAAACTTTTGATGGCACGCAACAAATTTGAGCGCCTAAAAGGCTAAAAAGAGCAAAACAAAATAATAAAATGGAGAGTGAAATATGACAGACAGAAATACGAGCGCAGGTCGGTGGCAAACAATGCGACGTTGCTCTGGCCAAAAGCTGTGCCGGCCGCCCGGCGTGTGGCATGTGATAACTTTCATGTGGCTGTATGTGAATGATGCCAGATGCGATTTATGTCTGAACAAAATGCGACCAAAAGGCGATGTCAGTGAATGACAGAAGCCAGAAGCCAGAAGCTTCAAGCTAGTCAATGCCTATTGAAGCGAAGGTCCAACACACGCTAAACAACTTATTTGGCTTTAAGTCGTTTAACACATATTACACATACGCCCCATTGAGCAGCGCGGCAAGAAGATAGCAAAGTTTATGACTTTCCTGAAACCAAAATGGTGCAAGTATTGAAGCTTCATTTGTTGCCCTTTAAGTATCACAATTGTCGACATTTTCCAAGTAAAATTTTTAATATTTTTCAATTTATTTTCACCACTCTAAACAGCGATGCCTAAATGTTTTATCATGCTCAACTGCTGCCAGCAGCACGTCATACATAACGAAACTGAGCTAAGCAAATGTCAACGCCAAAAACTGTGAAGTCAAACAAGGCGACAACAGGGAGAAGAGGTCCAACAAATTGCTCACTAAATATGTTGACTTACCCTTGTCAGCTGTCCTTGTTATGCTGATTGCGGTTTTGCTTCGTGATGCCACTTAAATGAAGCACATATTAACGCTCAACTCAACAATAAACTTAATGCTAAATTTGACTGCCAAATGTGCTTTATATACACATAACATATATGTGTATATATATACATACATAGTTAACCTTCTAAGCCTGTTCAAGCAGCTTTCAGTGTCATATGGGAATGTTCACTTTAAAGCTTGCCGTGGCGCAGTGTGGTTGGCGTCGTTATGGCTTTCGCTTTATAAACTTTTATGTCGTATGCGAAACAATTTGATGGACATATTATGAGCACGCGCTTGTAAACAAGAACAGCGAAATATATTTTCAGCAAAGAGAAGAATCAACAACAAAACAAAACAACAAGAAACAAACAGAAATTTATAAATCTGTAAGAGAAATGTGGATACTTCGGATTATAGTGAAAATTATTGAATGGGCGTGGATGACAAATATAATATAGTTAGAAATGAAGGAGGTAAACAATGCAGAGGGAATATAGTTATATACTAAGTAAGAGACAGAAGTTGACATGGGAAAATTAAATGACGAAGTGAGTGAGAGGGAGAGCGGGAGACAGCAATAGAGAAGTTTGAAATTTGCCTAATGGAATTAAATAGAATTTGTTGGATACACAATAAACGCTATTTGCAGCTTATAGTGAGAAGCCGATGAAAAAAGTAAATTAAAATTGTTTATACATTACCTAATTCAACAATTCGAAAATTCCATGTAAAATTTAACTAAAAAATAATTTGTGTAAATAAAATAAATTTCGCTTTTATTTACATTTAAGTTTTGTGGAATTTAATTTAGTCTCAGAATTTCACGTGAAAAAAGTGAATATGTCAAAGGTCGACAAGTTGCTATGTGTTGTGCAGGGGCATGCGGCACACACAGGTGCCATGCGTAGTTGAATGCGGCATGGAAATGTTTTCCATACAATAAAATTGCAGCATAGTTTTCTTTTTTGCATAGGGGTTAGACCTATTTTCGCCTTGACGCCGACAAACAAAAGGCGTGTCGCCCAGTCGCAGTGTTTTGCGCCAAATGAACACACATAAATGGACAAACACATGCACAGTTACTCACACACACACACACTCACTCAATCCAACATATTTCAACATTTCGCGTGTCGCAGGAGCTGTGCAGAGTCGCTCTTTCCGTTCTGCCATTTTAAAGGCAGCTAAATTTTATTTAGTTTTGCTGAGCATTTTTCTAGTTTAAGTTAAACATTTCGTTAGAAATTTATAGAATCAAAAGATTTACATTTTTAGGAGTGGCTTTTTTGTATTTTAAATAAATTTATTTTAATTTAAATTTTAAATATTTTTATGTTCATTTACTGAAATTTCGTTTAAATCTGAGTGATCTTAGCCTCTTAAGTAAACCTCGTATGGGTAGAAAATACTGATTACTGATGGAAAAAATATACAAAAAGAATATACAAATATTGATTTGATATTTGACTAGTCTCAATCAAATACTCAGCTAAGTTTTTGTCTTTGTAAATATATTGGCAGTTGGGAATCAGGTATCAGACTTTCCCTTGTGAAGGTTTCTTAACGGTTGAATTTGACTCTGAAACCAGAATATCTACATCACATTAGATCTTTAAGATATTTCCTAAATATTTTAAATTGAATGAGTAAATTTCTTAAAAGTTTTTAGTAGTGATACGAAAGTGCCTTAAACAAGTAAGAAAGCTCTAGGTGGGGTGCGCGACTAGGAGTTACCCTGATCCCAGTCCTAGTTTTAATATTTTCCATTACGAAACCAAGATTCGATCAAGGTATTCTTATTTCAGAAGTTCGATCTTCATTAGTAAAATAGTGAATGCCAATTGGCTAGCAAATCCTTTTAACCATAAAAGCTTTGGCATAAAAGATTTGGCATTCGTATGCCTCATTTAATATTCATTCGAAATCGCTGTGAAACTAAATGCAGTTAATTCAAGTACAGGCCGGCCATATAAATGGCATAGAAATCACTGTTCGTTACTCAGTTACTGTTACCAAAACCTGACATAATTTAGCTGTATGATGAATACATTCATATTACTCATTCATGACAGAGCATATGCAGTTTTGAATAGCGTTTTCACTGATTTTGCATTCAGTGGCAGTGACTGCTTGATATCCCTTGAGTAGCTGCTCTTAAACAATGGAAACTACTGCCAGCTATGCGTAGGGATCCTTTCAGCCAGCCAACCAGGCAACCAGCCATCCATCCATCTGCCTGCCTCCATGACTGCCTGGCTGACTGGCTGACTGGCTGCCTAGTGTCAGGCCATTTGATATTTGCGCTCGAGTCGAGCACTAAGGGAAATCTCTGAAATCTCACCGTAGGATTTGTTGCAGGCCACAACGGATTACCCTCACATAAAATGTACAGCTTCATATGTGTGTGTGTGTGTGTGCGAGTGTGTGTGTTGTGTGAAAATGAGCAAATTTTGTGCGTGGCTGCGAGCGGTTGAGTTAAGTTGGCAAACTATTTCATGGTATTGGCCCAAAGGGCGCAAAGGGCTCTGAAGTCAACTTTAATTAACTGCTTAGTAAATGCTGAAAGGAATTGTTAAATGTTGCAGCCATCTTTTATTACGAAACAATGCAAAGCACATCACTTTAAATATCAGTTAAATATATTAGGGTGGCTTAACCACTTGATAAGCGTTTGGGATACTTAATCAACGACTTGCGTCGACATGAGGGCTAAAGTTTATGGTAAATGTGACCTGTAACTATTAAACATAAAAATGTATATTCTAAACTATGAAGAGCGAAAATAGAGTCATACTATAGCGAATGTCCTACTATTAATTTTAGCTAGAGTAGGTAAATTAATTGGAGCTAAGTAGATTGCAAAGGTTGCTTAAGTTTCTCTACTTGGTGTTCGATGATCTCTAGTTATATATGAAAGAGAACTAGCTACTACTACTACTATTTATACTTCTGTTCATTTGAACACTACTACTACTACTTCTACTACTACAACTACTACTCATTATACTACTACTACTAGCATTACTACATTATTACTACTACTACTACTGCTAATACTACTACTACTATTGCTAATACTACTTCTACTACACTAATGCTACTTCTACTACTACTACAATTACTACTACTATTACTATTACTACAATTACTACTACTATTACTATTACTACTACTACAATTACTACTACTACTACTATTACTACTACTACTACTACTACTTCTTTTCCTTCAGCTTTTACTACTAGTTAAAATAAATCTCTGCAGCGGTTAAAGCCCAATTATGCTTGTTCATTATTATTTCATAAGAAAGAGTTTCCATTTACCAAGCCTGGCGACGGCATAACAGTTGCTGTGACACTTCCAGTTTCATTTCCGTTTTTTAATTATTATTCGCTTGCCATGACATAAGTGCTGAATTAAGAAATTATGTAATAACAGTGGAGGCCAAATTAAATTTCAAGCCTGAATGACTGCGAGAGGCATAATAAAAAAAACAATGAGCATTGGGAAAATTGGCAGTTGGCAATTGAATTATTTAATGGCCAACGAAGGCTACGAAGCTTCGCAGCATGCTTAAAAGTTTTCACACCTTAATTTTACTTAACTTACAATTTCGGTTACTTGTGGTGCGAAGGCCTTTTGACAGTTTGGCAACAAATACTCAGAGAGTATCGAAGACAAACTTTAATCGTGTTGCATAACCCCGGGCGACGAGCGGGCCACACGTTTCCAGCCACGTTAACAAAGTGCATGCATTTTCTATAAAGTGCAAGAATTGCATAAAATTTCAATAAACTGGCAACGACGACACATTCGACGAGGAGAGGCAGATGAAGCGTTGGTTTGGGTTGAATTTTAACAGAGAGAATGCGGCGTCAGTGAAAATGTAAAATTTATTGCCAGCTGAATTCTCATTTCGGGTCGCATTTCTACAACTTTGCCTCATTTGTTGCCAAGCACTCAAAAATCAAATGTTCTTTAAGATCAGCGCACTTTGCGTAGAGTTCGCCATGAAGGAGCTGAGCTGCATTTTAAAGTCACTTCAACTGCATTTCATATGCAAATGCTTTTGTTTCGCCTTGCGCACGTGTTCGGGTTCTGCAAATGCGGAAGGTGAGTACCTGGTTGCTAAGCAACGTTGATTTGCACCTGAGCAACTTTTGTAGACACTAACAAAAGCGAGGCAAATATAAATTGCCATCAATAAGCAAACTTTTGCTGTAACTATTTTATGTTGGCTTAGCTGTGCATCTGGCTGTCAGTCTATTAAAATTAAAGACTTCATATTTGTTAGATGTGCTAATTGACCTCGTCTTATAAAGGTGCATAGGACTGGGATCAAATTATCTCTTCGACGGGCACCTCCACTAGAGCTGTTACCTATTCACTTGTGCTTTACAATTTATCAATATAAAAGTTTCCATTTAACAGTTATTCAAAATTTCCATTCATAAAGCTTGATCCTCCTCCTAATTCTCTTTCAATCTATATTAAGAGATAGTTCCTCTGGTTTCCCTAGCAACTCTTAAAACTACTCAATCTTGCTATCAATTCATCTACCCTTCATATCAATAGATACTGTACCCCAAGTCAAAACCTTCACTTTGTCTGTTATACTCACTCGCAGTGTATAGCTGAGTGGTACAAAAAAAATCCTTAAGCTGTTAATTCACATATTTTGCAAGCTTTTTTGCATCTGGCTTCCAATTGTTGTAAGCAGAAATGTTGTCGGCCGCACGCCTTAAAGTATGCCACGTATTTTTCTTTACACAGCCAGCAAACATTTATTACCCACCCGCCCACAGGCCTTAGACAAATGGTTATGTTAAGCATCGTAAGCGCTGTTCCTCGTTTGTCAGCCTTGCGCTTTCGCTTCTATCTTCTTTATGTGTGTAGCCTGTACCCCTTGGGAAAATGTTGAGAGTGTTTAGTTTTGTTTTCAGCTGGCTTAGCCAGTCATGGTGTAGTTTAGCGATGCGAAAAAAATAAAATTATGATTTAATATAATACATACATATATATTAATTTAAAGCTTTTTTGGCTTGCTGAGCTTTTTCAACACTTCATTTAACTGACAGTTTGGCGCTTTTTTCTCCACTTTCTCTAAGCTTTTTGCTAAATAGTCAACTAATTGCAGTAGTAGATTGCCTTCGCTTTTTTAAGCTTGGCTGTCTAAAAGCCTGACAAATTGCTTGCCTCCTCCCTCACATAATGACGCCAATGAGTCGATTGCCTGCCTCGTGAAATGCTACAATCAATCATATTGACTTGAACTCAGTGGCATTTAATGACAGCTGGAACACAAAAAATTTGACAATAATTTGACTTGTTTTTTTTTTGCTTCTGTAAATTAAATACTATTTAAATACCCGATATAAATGAGAGAGTGAAGCTTTAGCAGTGATCTAAGAGCAAGACTTTATGGAAAAAGGAAAATAAATTTTAGTTTTTTCTATATATTTAAGAAAACAACTTTTTAAGCTTTAATAGAGTTTTTTTGTTCATTGAATAATATTAATTTAGATCGTTTATTTTTTTGGCAGCTTAATTTCCCAGCATATTTATTGTGATAAAATGGGTTAAATATAAATAAACATAAATATATAGTTATTTATTCCATATATAGAGATATTTTTATGCTTGTTTTATATAATTTAATTCATTTACATTTTTTGTATTTTATATCAAATTATATTTTATTTTATTATTTTTTTAATATATATTTTACTTACGAGATTATTTGTAATAAATTAAAGCCTAGAAAATTTAATTTAGTTCTCTTTCTGTTTTTTTCAATTTCTAAGCTATTGTCAAAGTATGTTTTGCTGTAGGTCTCATTTGAAGCAAACCAAATAATTCAGTTCACCTATATTTGTTGTGGACGTTACAGACATTTTTAGAAACTCAACAAAATGTCCGCAAAACCAAAAATGGTAAAATAAATTATTAAGGAAAAGTAAAAATCGAAATTTTTTTAATAAAATCCTTTTCTTTACAGGAATGTAAGCCGCCACCACTTTCAGTGAGTAATAGTCTACATAAAATCTGGAAATATATTTAGAAGTATAGCTATGCATATACATATGTGTATATTTATATATATGTGTTTATATTTTTTCATATGTTATATGTTTGTTTATTTATTTATATTTGATGTAGATGTAGAATTTCCACACTGTCCTTTTCCATTGCAGCCAGAACAGCTGAAGAATGTCAAATTTCCTATGCACAATACGCATTTCAAAAAAATGATAAAAAATTTGAGGACGGCTTGCTGTTTGTCCCTGTTGGCTCCACTTATGTTTTATATATTTCACAATACCCCGCGCAAGGTGAAGTATCGGAATTTCTACACAAATTATGATCCGTTGGATGCGTTTGATCGTATGAAGAGCGGCGGCTACTTGAGCTCGTGCCCAGCCAAGGAGGACAATAAGGAGAAGGAGAAGGAAAAGGACAAAAAGAAGAAGAAGTAAATCGAATACCAGAAAACGGAATCAATTCACTTCAGATAGGACAACATAGTTGAATCACACAACAATGCAACAATGGAAAGGAAATCAGAACAGGAACGCAAATGAATTCTAAGAAATAGTTAACTCAAGTTATGAAATATTCCTCACCCACACACTAATACACGCATACATAGGCATACACGCACACACATATACACGCACATACACGCACATGCACACACATGCACACATACTCGCACACACATCGATAAAATTGTTGATTAAATGGAGCATTGCAAATACTTGAATTCTATTTCTAAAGTTCGGCCACGCCTCCTAAATCGCTCACTGGTATGTGCTTGTCTGTTATTGATGGCCAATTACAACTGAAGCCGAGTGGGTTAAGGACTATTAAACGTTGCGGCCGCTATTCAAGTTGTCGGTTGAAGCTATTGATGTTTGTCCCATGAGTTCTGCAGTGAGTCTGCCTCATAATTCCTTATCTTTGAACTATTTTCAGGCTTTAGCCTTAGTTCCTTCAATTTTCAGCTGAAGCAACTATATATGTAACATATATATATATATGTATATGCTTGCTATGCAATTGTTTGAAGGAATTCGACAAACTATGCACGTTTCGATGCACACATTTCTTGGTAGCTTTTATCACATTCTTTGATTGGCATTTTCTCGCCCAATTTAATGTTTCAGTAACATGTTTTGCATAGCACATTCGATTTGGCTACCCAGTAAATGAGAGAATTTGTAAGCAGGGTAGCTTAGATTGTACAGAATTTCTAAGCATACCCTGTAAATATACAAGTGAAGGCTGGCATGTTTTGGATAGCGCAATCGATACGTATACCCTGTATAAATCCATGTAATGGTAACATTTTTATATTCTTTAAACTATGGTGTGTATAAAAGGGCTTCTTAAATTGTGAATATCTCTGTGAGAGCAAGATATACCCTTTAATATAATAATGAGTTGTGGACATTTTTATAAGCATGAGAGCTTTTATACAGAGTGGGTAATGATTGATGAAATTGGAATGCTGCAAAATTTATCCAAAATTGAGCTATGCTTATGAATTGTCTTGTGTGTGAACTGAAAAAATGCATACAACACAATTGTCAAAAAGCGCAATGAAAGTTCTTTCGAACAATCGACGCTCAGCATGGCATCAGTTCAGAAGCAGTTCATTGCCCTGTTGAGATATTTGACCATTGGATGTTAAGTCAAGCTGAAAACGTAGTTTGATGGGCATAGAGCAGCCTTAGCGAGAAGTGTTCAAGAAGCCAGAAAGCCAAATTTTGATCAAAAACTAGAAGCACTGGCAGCAAAACTGGCAGTGCTTGTCCAGTTCTGGCAATGGCTTGGACGTAGTTTCAAAATTACATCAATATTTTCACCATTCATAAATTCATTCACTAATCAGTCAGCTCTAACTCATCTTCGCAGTGTCTTCTTTGGCATGAGACGCCGCCGCAGAGCCCCATGGAATTACACCCCTTATATATCAGCAGAAAAACTATTTACAGGGCATGGTCAAGTCTATATATTTCAATATTGATCTTATATTTGCTTTCGCTTAGCCATATTTGAATGCTTTCTGTGCATTGGCTAATCTCGCACTTGGCCTTTGCTTTCCTTTCTTTTCTGTTGTTGCTTTTTACTGTTTCTCGTGACATGTTTCAGCAACAAACAAAAAACAGAAACAAAAAATTCCTCAGCTAGTTGCTTCTGCTTTAAATATTGTCCCTTTTCAAGCGGATGTTTGGTTATTAAATTTCTGCTGAAGCTGAGCCCGCATCCAATTTGTTATTCTCGCTGAGTCAGTGCTGGGCATTTGCATTTGCATTTGCATGTGGCAATTAGATTAGAGCATTTAAATGCTTTGACTTTTTATTACTTTTATTTTGTTGCCGACCCTTGAACTCTGACTCAGACTGAAGAGATTTCAATTTGTTGACAATTTGTGGACCTTAGCCGTACGTTGAACCTGGCTCAAATCAAGCAGACAGTCAGCTACACAGAGTGACAAGTTCAATCTGTTGCATGCCACATGGCGCTGAAGGCGCTTAGAAGTGCGGCAGCGCCTAACAAAACAGCGCTGCATACTTGAAGGCGTTGCCTCAACTGCGGCTGAGGCATTTGGCCAAACAAGAAAAACTTGGCCAAACAACTTTTCGGGCAAATCGCATGAAATTTAAGTGGAATTTTGAACTTCTCAACAGGGCTATCAGGGCTGCGTCAGAATCAATATGCGAATATTATTTGAATAGTTTTCGCATTAAGATTGCCTTTGGCCCACAACTTCTAGAAGTTTTGAATTTATGTTATGCCCTACCACGGCACATTGTACATTTTTGAGAGCGAAAGCTGGAATATGCCAAGAAACACATATAAATAAAAAGGGTAAAACTGAATAGAACAAGTCTAGTCCACTGAATAAAATTGATTAAGTGTGGAGCTTAAATATAAAGAAAATCATTCGTATTTATTAGTTTTAAGTGTAGTTCGGTGTTAGGGGAAGTTTTTATATTTTTTGTTTACTCATTAACTCAGTTCGTATTGAAAATGTCACAGTTTCCCACAAATATACTCAAAGCAGCTTAGATACACCCGCCAATTGGATACGTGGAAAATGGCTAAAAGCTGAATGCTCCAGAGATTTAAAGCTGGTATTCGAATTAACCAAATAAGTTACTGTTGGCCTATTTTGTTACCTGACCAAAAAGCTTATTAATTGGCTTTTTAGTTTACAAGTATGATGTAGTCGGTTAAGCCCACTTTCAGCGTTTTCATTTGCTTTTTAGTTATGCATATAAACATCAATCGACGAATCAAAGAATCTATGAATGCATAAAAAAGCGAATTTTAACATTCTAAATTGTTTTTAAATAAAATAACTTTTCCTAAGAATTTTAAAAAATCTCTAACATAAAAAAATTTTAGAAAAAAATTTATTTCTAAATACTTCAAAAGTTTAGCTTCAATAAATTAGCGATGTTAATAAAAAATAAATAAAGTTCTGTTATTTTGTACTATATGAATAGAATATCATTTTCACAGAAAGAAAAAGGAAAAAACGAAATTTAATAAAAAAGTTTCAAAATATTTTGCATATAGCTTCAAACTTTACTATTTTGCTGCAGCTGATTCTACAAATCTTCTATTTACTTTTAGTTACAATCTCGATCATATTTATATTCATTTACCTGACAAAGTAACTATATTTTATACTAAGATTTTCTTTGCTACTAACAGCAGCTGCTGCTGCTTCAAGCACTTTAATGAATACAAATGAGCCTGGCTTTGCTTTTTGGCAGCCACTGTCTAAATATGCAATGCACACACACTTTTATTTGGTGTCAACGAACTCTTAAGAGTTCCTTCGAGCGTTATTATCCATTTGGTTAACTACAAAGATTTTACTAATTGTAAATTATTGACACAGCCCAAGCTTGAGCGACATTAAGTTTTGACAGTTTGCAGAAATTATATATTTCCCAGAACTATTAAGTTTTGCAAAATATTTTAATTGAATTTTTAATTGATTGCTTGGACAAAAATATATAGCAAGCAGAATATTGAATATTTACGTAAATAATTTGTGTAGTTTTAAAGCTCTAAAGCAATTGAAGTGCTTACTAAATACTTATTAATTTGTATAATACGAGGTGAGCTTTGAAAGTCTTTTAAATATTTTGCTGTTATTTATTTAAAAATACATTTTGTATTTTTTTAAAGTAATCCACATAAAATGTTAAATTCCTGTCTTTTTACTCTTAGCTCTTAAAGCCGCAATTGACAATCCTAAGAGCGGAGACAATCTTCCACTAATTCCTGATGTGTAGACATTTATCATTCAATCATTCATTCAACTGCCGCGAGTGCTTTGAACTGGAAATAATGTTTGCAATTTGTTAAACGTAAATAGAAACTTTAATATGATATAGTTGGAATGTTGATGTACAAAATTGTTGTCTAAAAAAAGACTACAACCCGTTTCGCATCTTGACACCCTGTTGAATACTTTTAATCTGTTCCAACTCTAACTAGCTGGGTCGGTTGGAAAACCCTTTTCACAGACTCTTTTCCAGCCACCACTGCCTTTGCCCATTTGCTCCATTATGCTCACGACTATGATAGTTTGTGCCTTTCGCATATAAAGTCGAAAATTCATTAAAATTTTCTTAGTAAATGTAGCTACTTTCGAAAGTAATCATGGCCAAAAGAAGCAAATAGTAGTCGAGGTTCAATGTCTAATGCGATGGTGGCTGTGGTAGGAAATTCCATTGAAATTGGTCATGTCTTTTCATGCTCAAATGCTGCATGCAATAATTGTTGTTGGTAACATTATCCTTTGATAGTTTCATAGATTACTTCGAGCTGAGTTCAGCTGATGTTGAGGCATGGCCAGTTCACTAGCTCTTGTGGGGAATCCAGTTGTTGCTTGCCGCGATTCGTGGAAACCTTTTCATTTAGTATTCGAACTACTTATTTTGCAAATGAGAAGAGGTCGCTCGACAGCTCTTGGTTTGCGTTTAAACGGAACTCAATTTCCTCTTTGGCCTTGAGGGGCAATGCAGCAAGGCTCTCTCCGGAGGTTGCAGCAAGATTATCATGAAACGCTGATAGAGCAACTTACTTAGCAGTGTATTATATAGCTATAATATTAATCTTGGTATATTTTAGCCATGGCCATGAGCTTGACTAAGACTCAAGCCTACGTTCGCCTCTACAGCTCAATTTGATCTTTCACAAATTCAATTCTTTCACCATAAAACTAAGAATTTAATATTGCAGGCAAAGTACTTCTTCTTCTACTTTTTCATCTATTTTATCGGAGTTTCGGCTGACATGCGTTGGCTGTCATTCCATGGAAAAAAAGACTGCAATTTCCGTCTGGCCACTGCCATGACTCAATCTCACTCGCCAACTCTCCAATAGACCATGGCCAACACGCATATGCATAGACAATGGCGATTATTTCATGGGCAAAAACAAAAAAAGGCCTTTGGCAACAATTTCAATATTTGTTCTTTTATACTCCTTCTCTTCTTCTTCTGCTTCTTCTTTGTTACTGCGAGCCATAAATTTGGCGCTCTTGACAATGTCTGTCTGTGCGCTTAACTCAAAATACTCGTTTAATGCGACTCAATGAAGCCGAAAGTGACAACGTATTTCAGTTTGCCAAATTATTTATATATATATTAGCCAGAAGAGGGTTGCAGTCGAAAGAAAAAATATAAAAATATGCTATTTATATAAATTTGTATATATATGTAATTTCAA